TATTCTCATTAAAATGATGCAATTAATAAGTTCATTCTTCATTTTAAATAAAAATGAAGATTATGATATATTTTGTAGGATTGTTATGCTGTGTTTACTGATATGATACATTAATAAACATTCATGGCTTTATATAAATGAAATGATCACTATCAAAATATTTCTCATAATCAGCCATTTTCTGGCTCACTAATAGTAGGGATGGCAAGCAATCAAGAAGAAGACAGCTTCCATGTAGTTGTGAGTTACTTCCCCTATTATTTACATAGATCAAATCAAAGGAGACTTATGCTTTAAAAAAATCAGGATCAATGAGAAATTCTGTTTATCTGAAGGCTCAACAAACATTACCAAAAGTGATCTAATCAGCTCCCAATTGCAATCGTATGACTGTTAGGTCAATTTGACGATAATTTGTACTTGAAAATTTGCAAGAATGCAAAAAAGATCCTTAAAAAGTTACTTTCAAAATGTGAATTTTTCCACTTGATATTAAGCTTGCCCATACAAATTAGATAGCAATTTGTATGCAACTTATACGCTATAACTAACTTCGAAAAAACTCTCTCATTACTTTGTGCTGAAATGTGGAGGAACGTAGATCTCTGTTTAAATGGGTACAACTCCTGTATTCGAAAATAAAAAAAAGAAGCTTTCCGTTCGTTCCACTTCACTTGTTTGACCAACATATGAATCATATTCTCTACATTAGCTCATCTCGCAAACAAACTACGTAGTGAGCTTAATCTAAAAACTGACACATGTGTTGTTATACCTACTTTAGAGATTAATTAAGAGAAACTAAAAATAGGGGAAAGAGGAAGACGCAGGGGAGGGGGGAGGCGAGCCAGTTTTCTTTCTCCGAACGTATCTTTTAATCAGTCTGCAAGTGATATTTGAGCTACACATTAACAAAATAATCGCAGAAAGTATTTCATATAAGTATAACTAAGGAATTAAAGCTAACTTTGAGAAATTTACGCAGATGAGAATTCTAAAATCTTAGAGTTGACGAAAAATCGCATAATTATGTTTATTCAAAGTTACCTCAATAATCGATATCTCAGATTAGATTCTATTTGAGAAAGTGCGACACAAAAAAAATTACCCACAAATCTGCACCACTCAGTCTAAATAAGAAACATACTCTTATATTTAGCAGCCAGAAAAAACTATATAAAAGATCACATATCGCATTAAAAATGGCCACTTTAGCTTCAATACAAGCTTTCAATCTCTTTTTGAAATTCTTGAGAATGCGCGCGATCATTTCCGGAAGATTTCTCGGACGATTTCCAATTCCTCCAATCTCTTTGCGGAGTTTATAACTCGATGTACTTGCTCTCGATGCAGTTTGAGTGTCTTCGAAATATCGGTATCTAACAAGCCGCGCTTGTGCATAGCGAATATTGCTGAACGATCATTTTATGTTACCATTTTTACCTAGAAAAAGGGAATAAGACTGACCAAAGTAGGGCTAAAAAAATACGAGAAAAACGAA